AGGAACAAAATAGATCTAGAGACACAGAAGCATGGAACAGACTGATGAATCTCAGAGGGAAGGTGGGGCTGGGAGAGTGGGTGGGGAGAGATTAATCAAAGAACTTCCATGCATGTATGCATAACCCATGGATACAGACAATAGTGATTAATGAAGGTGGGGGGTGCAGATGTGGGTGGAGGGGACAATGGGGAAAAAAGGGGACATCTGTAACACTGTTAAGGACAGAGATGTTGATTGTGCTATGTTGACAGTGATTGTTAGCTATAGTTATAAGAAATATTAATCATGTTCTGTTAACTGTGATTATTCTGTTCTAATTAGAAAAAACACTTTCTAACTTGGCTGGGAGTTGTACGCCACGGGGACATGGGAATTACCCTTGGAATGCAGTCCATTCTCCTTTTCCAAGAACTGCTCATCAACATGGGAAGATGAATGGCCTGTTCCTGAAACAATGGAATCCCTGAGGCGCCTACCCTTTCCTACCCCCAGCCAGAGTTGCCTGTAATCTGGTCCTAGAGGCACCCACTTTTTGCAACTCCCCATTCCCCCAGCCCACATTGCTTGTAACCTGTTAGCATTATACCTTGCCTACTTCCCTATGCCTGTAATTCCTTCTTTCCCATGCAATCTTTGTCCTTCTACCCAATATAAGCAGCTGGAATATGGGGAAGGAGGGGGTGGCAGAGCAGATTTTTGTGGATGACCATTACTGCTCTCCCATATTGCGGTGATACTGGAATAAATGCTCATGTACGATTCAACCCTGTCTGTGCTTAATTGGCTCAAGTGGTGACAGGAAGCCCAGACCCATTGTTGTTTGGTTTCAATACTTTCAACAATAAAGATAAATTTTAAAATAATAAAAATAAAAAGACAATATGTCAAAGAAACACCAGCCTTCATACTTACATATGTCTCAAGTCACACTGCTCCAGAATGGTCTGTTGACCTCCACACCTGGTAAAGATGTCATTCTAAAATCTCCCTTCACCATGACACTGAGATTCCCTTTGCCACTCTCCTGTGTTACATGCCCTGTATCCACTCCTTGAATTCCTCTAAATTTTTGGTTTAGAGAATATTCAATGGTAGCTTTTAGAAAGAATATATGAGAGGTAAATTTTTTAGACTTGTATGTTTGAAAATATGTTTATTCTACCTTCACATTTGACTAATAGTTTGGCTGGGTATAGAATTCTAGATTGGAAATAATTTTCCTTCTGAAAGTTGAAAGCATTGTTCTATTACCTAATAGCTTCTAGTGTTGTTGAGAAGTTAAGGCCTTTCTGATTCCTCATTCTTAGTGTGTGACCTGTTTTTAATCTCTGAAAGATTGTAGAATCTTCTCTTTATCCCTGATGTTTTGAAATTTATGATGATATGGAACTATTTTCATCTATTTTGTTGATACTCAACGGTCCCTTTCAATATGAAAGCTTTCATTCTTCTGTCATTCTAGGACATTCGCTTTAATTATTTCATCAATGGTTTCCTCCTCTCCATTTTCTCTTCTCCCTCTTTGTGGAATTTTTATTATTTGGATATGAGACCTCCTAGACTCATTCTCTAATTTTCTTTTGTCTTTTTTTCTCTCTCTGTCCTAAACAGGAGCACTTTCCTATGTGCTCTTCTTTGCATATAATACATTAGCTCTTCTGTCGGTGAGGGTACTTTCAGCAGAAAAGCACTAATATGAACATTTACCTCACATCACAAGAAGTTCACAGGCCGGGCATATGATGTAGCAGCTCAGTGATGTCATCAAGAACATGTCACCTTCTCTCTCTACTCTGCTCTCGCCACCTCCATTCCAAGGCTGGTCCCCTTCATGAATGTTGTGATACACTGTAGGCTCTGAACTTAGTGGGGGTACTTAATCCATAGAAATGTCCTTTCTTGTTCCTTAACTATAGCCCAGGCATATCCTATCATTCTCTGGTCACTTTTAGATATGAAAAAGTCTGGTATAGTTTAATGCTTTGCTATGATTCCTAATAATGTTCTTCCTTTCTCCCAACCCAGGCTTGACTTGTAGCTCAAGGAACTGACCATGAGAAGAACAAGCATCGTTTCTCTCTGTACATCACTGTTTCCGGCACCCAGCACCAGCCATGTGCACACTGAGCCGCCTCACCATGGTGCAGGGCTGCCAAAAGCTCCGAACTCCCAGAGATGAGATGGAGCAGCCGTTCCCCTCTCCAGCTGAATCAAACTTGTGCCTGAGCTCCTGATGTAATTTAGCACACCAAGTGATTAACTTACAGTTCCTTTTCCATGGATAGGGCCACTTTGACTTGTATATCTGTCTTTAATTACTCCACTTGCCTCTTACTTCACCAATATAGTAAATTATGCTCAGTCCTATTCACAATCTGCCTTATAGGTTTACAACAAAGTCGAACATTCTTTTTACATTCCCCACTTTTTTTAAAAAGTGAGAATCGTTTATTTAAAAAACATTCTAGCTTATACAGTTATTTTCTCTTCACGGATTCAAACAGTCCTTTGGCATTGTGTACTGCCTCATAATATCATCATTCTGAATATTAATTAATATTAGGGTGACTGGTGAAAACACCAGTTTAATATAATTTTCTGAAAAATATTCCAATTAAGCCCTCTAACCACTTTTTAAAAAAACAGTGTATATGCACTAATACTGATAGATCTTTACTTTGTACCAGACATCATGTTAAAACAGATCATCCCATTTAATCCTCACAATTGCCCCATGAGGTATATTATTGTCTCACTTGGATTCCCCTGAAAACAGAACTTGAGACAAAGGCTTTATGTGGTAGAGTTTTGGTTTCGAGTTCAATCCCCAGTAAGGGGCATGCAGGAGGCAGCCGACAGATGTTTTTCTCTCATCCATGTTTCTATCTCTCCCTCTCCTTTCCTCTCTCTCTAAAATCAATAAAAACTTTTTTTTTTTTAAAAAAAAGGATAATATTGAAATACCATTGTGGGCAACAGGGACTTAATTTTGCCGCTGAGATATGGACAAATGCCTCTCACAACTGCCTAGCAGGACAGGAAGCAGGGCCATTTACCCACTGGTTCCCATGCCCCACTAGTCAGGGGTTACCCAGGAGCGAGGGAGTTCTCACAGGGCAGAAAGCAAAGCAGCTAGGCCTTGACTGCTCTCAGGGAAGTGAGTGGATGCAGCCAGTAATGGCCCACTGAAGATATGGCTCAAATCAGAGGTAAAGTATGTGAACTGGGGCAAAAGACTTCTGACACTGATTATCTCACATTTATAGAGAGAAAACCAAGGTCTCAAAGATGGGCCATCTGGCCTCAGAACCCACGGTCCTAACCCTGTGCTATCGACCCCAGCACCTGCGGGAGGATGATGGCTGTGCTCCTCTCCCTGGAGAGGGAGCAGTCTTTCCACCAATTCAATCTGGAACACATGTTTGTGACATTCATTTAAACGCTGCATTTTCTCCTTCTGGAATTCATTTTTAAATTTGCAATACAAGAAAATGCTACATTTTCTGCATGTAGGTGCATCTGCATTTATGGGGGAAAATGAATACTTTTCATTTGCGATCATATAGGAAGACAGAAGTTCAGATAGTAACTGTCACTTGAGGGAACAGAAAAAACAAAAAACACACAGCTCATACAATCTTTTTTGAGTTCAGAAACTGCTTTTCAATTTTTTATTAAAATGTAATTCTTCAAAGAGTATAGAAATACACCTGGCAGTGACCTGTTAGAAGCCAGCCATCTGCTTCAAACATACAGAAGAAATACCTACCAAATTCTGCCTCATCAGAATTTATTCAGTTGTACATACATATTATCAGAACAAACCAAAGTGGCCACATTTGAAGATTCTTCTAAAGTAGACACAATATTCTGACAGATTATGTTTCCCCTTGATGAAAGTCGTAACAGTGGTGAAGGCTTTGAAAGATAAGCTTGAAGGGCCACATATTAACTATGAGGGCAAGGAGCTACGGATGGCATGCACACAGGGTCCAGGGGACAAGAGGCACCGGGGAAGGGAGTGGCAGTCCCGGTTTCTGCTGTGAGCACGCGCTTCCAGGAGACAAAACACACAGAGGAAGGCACTCCTTCTGCAGGGGAAGGGTCTTTGGGTTCACATTCAGGAATTATAAGACATCACACTCAGGAGAGGACAAGAAAAGGAGACTCCTTACACACAGACTAAGTTTCTTCTGAGGGACAAGGACCAGTATGGTTTGAGGAAGGGATACACGAGAATCACTGCCTTCAGGACGCGGTGAGAAGGCCCACTTCCCCTCAAGCTTGCTCAAGGCACTGGATGGGCTCCCTTACGCACTACTAACAAAAACAAAACGCCCTAGAGAGAAGGGCTGGCACTTGATTTGCACTCAGTAAGAGGAAAGTGTCATCTGTGGTTTGAATTCAGCCTGGTGAAATGCTCGAGTGGACTTGAATTGCCTGTGAGAGCCCCCAGGTCTAATGAGGACACTGTCCTCCCTCTTCTATCCACTCTGGCTCCTGCTAAAACTTCACTGGGAAAGAGGCAGTAGAGCTCACCTGGGCTCCATGTTGCCTTGGCATTTTATGATTAATTATTTCTTCCTGTTCTGTTCCTCGTTTGTGTCCAAAATAAAGGGAGAAACCACAGTTGCACACAGATTGAAACTGAGACTGGCCAGCCTGTGACTGGAGTCTTCCTCAGAACAGAGCCATTTTTGTCAGCCTTTTCCCACTCTTTTGGACAGAATCACCTTTCCCAATCAAGTAGTTTTAGCTTGATGTTTCCAGGGGACCCAGTTTACATTAACTTTGCATTTTAAAATTACCTCTAAATTCCAAAAGTTTGCATGAGATAATTTTTTTCAATATACTTTACTCCAAATGACTGCTATGCAGCACATTTCAGGTGAGATCAAGTGGGAAGAGAAAAGATTACAGTGTGTGGACACGGTCTCTCTTCTCTACCTCTAAGCTTCTCTCTCATTTGTTGAAAAAAACACACACAAAAAACATAATTCAAGGGGCAAAGACATAGTAAAGAGCTTGCAGTGTTTTCCAACCAAAACTACAGACATGTCTTTCTGAGGCCTTAGTGATGCCAGAGAAGGTCAGGACAATCAAGGGCAGAATATCTCCCTTACAGCCAGGCACATCTACTGCCTGTCTGTCCAATGGGGCAGAAGAGCCATTCCCTATCCATGTCCCAGTGAAAGGGACAACAGGCAATGGAAGAAGCTGAGAGACATGATCAGGCCTTCCAAAGAAAGGGCATCAAATGTCAAGTCCCTATCTTCCCTGAAGAAACAGAGGGGTATTAAACATTTTAAATATATTTGTCATATTTCAGTCGATAAATAGGCACACTGCTCCACCCATATCCTGGGCTTCCCTTGGAGTGGCCTCTCCCTGTGAGCTCATGAACGCTCTTCCCTCCGTGTATTCTCTGCTGGACTCAGAGAACTGAGGATCCCCAAGAAATACACATGGGATACCCACCCCAAGACCCGATCCACAGTGCCCAGCTTTTGTCTCCACAGAGAGGAACACAAATTTCACTAAGGATGTGGGTCTGTGAGATAAATATATAAAGTCCCTCAATAAAGAAGACATTGATTTTATATAGATTTCCCTCTCATTCAAAAGCATTTGGCCCAGATAGGAAGCCAACCGATCCTGGGTTGCAATAAGATCACACAAATCACAGGGCCACAGTGAAGGGCGGGCCAGAGTAGGGGAGCTCCCTGCTGCTTCCAAGGATTTTCAATCCTTGCTAGGAATCCACCTTTGGGAAAATGCTCACTTTATTGTTTCTGCTCATTTTCCGCTCTACCCTGCCTACCTTGGTTATCTTTGTCTGGATCAGCTCTTCTGGGGTGTTACCCAAGGGGGGAAGCAGCCTCTTTTTGCTATTTCGGGTCTCTGAGAGCCACTGGGGAGGCAACTCAAAAGGACCAAAACCAAATTGCAGGGAGTACTTGCCAGGGAAAGTCTCAGGTTCCATAGGGGCTGCTGGTGCCACCTGGGATATAGAGTCCACTGTGCCTGGGGGTGACACAGGGTGTGCAAACTGTGGCCCCTGCTCTCCCTCCAGGCAGGTGCTAAGGATCTCCTTGGCCTGGAGGTCAGCAGAGCCAGTGTACTTGGCTTCACTCTCTTCTTCATCCTCTGTGGGCTTAAAGATCTGCTGCTGCCCGATGTGGAACATCTCCAGGAGCTGGCTTCCTGAGCGCACGCTGGGCTCCAGGCTGGCATCGGCCAGCCCACTCCCCGCACTCACCACGTTACGGCGACTGTACCGGTGGTGCAGCTGTACCAAGGTCCCTACCAAGCACTTGCGGACAGATTTGTTCACAGTAAGAAAGAGCACAGGGTTCGCCAGCAGAGAGACTTTAGGCAGCCAAATGGCAGTGAGCAGCAAGAAGATGGAAGTGTCAGGGACATTGAGCACAGTCTGGTAGACGACCAGCGTAGCGTAGGGCACGCTGCATAAGATGAAGACCATCACCATTGAGAGCAGGGTGGCGTGCAGCTCGGCCTCCCGCTGGGAGGCATAGGGGATGGAGATGGTGTTCTGTGGGGTCCGGAGCGCCGCGATGATGACCTTCTTCTTCTGGCTGGCACTCAGGGCCCGACGGATCAGTATCAAGAAGAGGAAGACCACAGCCACAGGCACAATGACCGTGGTGATGTTATAGACCAGAACATATACCAGGTGGCCCAAGGAGTTGCTCCAAACTTCGGTGCAGGTGGACATGGCGTAGATGTCAGCCACATTGGTCACTGCAAACACTGGAATGCTGGCCACCACTGCATGGGCCCAGATGTACATCACCAGTTCACGGGACTTGGCATCAGAAATTTTTCTCTCCAGCGGATAGAGAACTGAGTAGTACCTGCAAAATGCACACACAAAATATATTTCACAGCAGAAGATAAGCTTTAAATTAGGGGAATCTATATAACTAAAAGTAGGAGAGATGGGAGAAAGGATCAAGTTTTTTTATTCTGCCTAAGAAAGGGAACCACTGGGGAACCACTGGGAAGAGACATTAAGTTTTGAGGACTTTGCTATACAATTCATAACTAGCTTTATAATTATTGCCACCAAGATTAAATCCCAAAGAGTGCTCTCAATATAAAGGATGTGTCCACCTGCCGTAAAGACATCTATTTTTCAATGTAAGGGTAATTTATAAAAAATTTTATATAAGCCAAAAAAGATTTAAAGCAATTTTCAAAGCCACTAACAGAAAGAAATGTCTGCACACATTTCCAAAGCAGACTCATGCCACAGTATATGGATGGATATATTAACCTTATAAGCTGCTCAAGGCAGAACCCAATATGAAGGATGGACAAAGTCCTTCCATAAAACCAACTGACAAAAATTATGCCTGCTCAATAGCTATTGTTCCCACGATAATCACTTAGTAACCCTATGAGCAATTAATGGGTCTAAAATGCCTGCACAATAAAACCTTTTTCCTTCAAGTTTAACTTGATTATTCCATAATCACCTAATCAGAATTCCGAAAGTACAGCGGTACCTCGGTTTTCGAACGTCTCCGCTGATGAACATTTTGGTTTATGAATGCCATAAACCTGGAAGCAAATGCTTCAGTTTTCCAACACGCCTCAGAAGTAAAACATGCCACATGGTTTCTGATGAGGGCAAGATCCTGAGGCCCAGCTGTCGGCTGTGGATCCCTCAGTTTTCAAACGTTTCAGAACTCGAACAGTTGTCCGGAACGGATTACACTCGAAAACCGAGGTACCACTGTAACTTGTTCCCACATCAGCAGTGGTTTGGCAGAACTGAGTCGTTCTTCAGACCCTAGAGCTACATCTATCTTGAAAGGGCTGCCACTAGCCACAGGAGATGTGGTGATTATCGGAGATTAGCTCTGCCCTCATCACTGCCGTCAGCTAATGCTGGAGTCGACCTTACAACCCTATTAACATTCATTCACTCATGGGGCCAGGTGAGCATGCATGCTTTCCTGTCACAAGGATTTCTGAGCACCACCTATGTGCCAGGCACTGAGTTACAAAGGAGAAAAGCCATACAGGAATGTTTTTGACATTAATGGGGTGAAAGGCATGCAAACAAACAATTATAGGTGAGGAGATGACGGCTCTATTAGAGGTATGCACGAAGGAGGTAGGGAAAGGGAGCACCTGGGGAAATGTCAAGAGAAGGTGGCACTGTGGTGGAGTCTGGCAGGGGACAAGCTGAGGGAGAGTGCTCCAGCTGAGGGAGATACGATGCAAACACAACATGACCACGGATGACCAGAGATGCATGGAGACGATGGAATGTGTTCTAGACCTCTTTCTGGGAGGGGAAAAAAGGGAAAAAAATACGTAAGTTATGCATGCTCTCAATTTTATTTCTCTGAATACAGATAAAGGTTTCTAACCACAGCTCTATAAATCCAATGTGATGGCCTTCACCCACACATGAACACATGCCCAGGAGTCCACCGTCTCTGGTTCCTATTTGCTAACTGGCAGATAACAAACCCAGGCTTCCAGTCATTTTTGCTTCCATTATGTACTGGGGAAAAGATTGCAATGCAAGCACACAGGCTCATTATAAATAATTTTGTTAGTGTACGCCTCTAGAAAACAACGCAGGAAGTATAGGTGGCTCCCAGTTAACTTGCTGACTCAGTGCGATGAAACAAGTATCTGAGAAAGAAGTGAGAGAAAGAACTGTCTTTCCTTTACCTTCAGCACACCATACCTAAGCTTATGGGTAATGTGTATCTCTGAATAACAAAAAAGGAACCTACCAGCCTTATTTTTCTATAAAAGGACCTGTTTACCTTTTAAAAAAAATAATGGCAAACATACAGTAGCTTTTCTGATGGAAAGAAAATAAGGATTTCTTATTGTTAGCATGTTTTCCTCTCTAAGGCCAAGGGCCCTGAAATAACCCACAGTTATTACTGTATTAATTCCAGGTGTAACAGAAAAGTGTTCAAAATAATGTGTTCCCACTCTTGCTGAATCCTATTTTTAAAACACTTTCAGGATTCATAGCAGCTTTATTCACAATAGCCAAAAAATATAAACAACCTGACTGACAATCAACTAATAAATGGATAAACAAAATGTGGTAGAGCCATACAATAGACTATTACTCAGCAATAAAAAAGAATGAAGAAAGTTGTTAGGAGAGTAGATGTCTACTACTCCTAAGAGTTTTCATTACAAAGGAAAAAACTGTTCTTTTTTTAAATCTATATGAGATGATGGATGTTAACTAAACTTACTGTGGCAATCAGTTCACAACATATGTGATCCTTTATGCTGTACACCTTAAACTCATAAGGGCTATATGCCAATTATATCTCAATAAAACTAGAAGAAAAAAGGAATGAAGTACTAATACATGCTACAACACAGAACCTTGAAAACATCATGCTGTGTAAAAGAAGCCAGACATAAAATATACATATTGTATGATTCCACTTACATGAAATGCCCTAAATAGCAAACACACAGAGACAGAAAGTAGATTAGTGGCTGCCTAGGTCTGGGGGTGGGAGTGGTGTGTAATGAGCATGAGGCTTCTTTTGAGGATGATGAATCTGTTCTAAAGTTCAATTACGGCGAGGGCTGCACAATTCTATAAAGATACTAAAATTCATTGACTTGTACACTGAAAATGGATGAATTTTGTGATACATAATTATATCTCAGTAAAAATGCTTTTAGCTCTGGTTGGTGCAGCTCAGTTGGTTAGACGTCATCTCGTGCACCGGGAGGTTGCCAGTTCAGTTCCTGGTGAAGGGCACATGCCAGGGTTGCGGGCTTGATCCCAGGTGGGGGGTGCCGGAGACAGCCAATGGATCGATGTGCTCTCACATCGGTGTTTCTCTTTCTCTCTCCCTCTCCTTTCCCCTCTCTCTAAGGAAAAAAATCAATAAACTATTCTTCAAAATAAAAGTTTTTAAAAGAACTTTCAGAAAAGTCCACAATGCGGTCTAAAGACATAATACCTCACTAAGCTGGTAGAACAAGGGGCAGCTTGAAGGACACCTGCTATAAACACAGAATGAGTTCAACACAAGATTCATTAGGGCTGCAATTACACCACCAGGATATAATTTGTAACTTGACTTTTCACTTTGACTTTTCACTGTTATATTCCAGTGCTGTGCCATGGCTCTTTCCAGATATTCAAAGCTCTCTTGTTGAGTATGGACGAGACATGCAAAGTTACTGTAGAGCAATCATGACAAACTGGCATCGCATGCTGCACATTTAGTTTGCTGAAGGAATTTGAAGAGTCCACATAATATTTTTTGAATGCAAATTAACTGCAAACATTTAAAAATGATAGAATTCTACATTTCTAATTTCTCTTTTAAGAAAATAGAGTCCTGCCCACTAAATTTAGATAGCCACAAAGCAACTATTAGCTGCATCTGCTAAGTAAATGACCCCAATGAACATGACTGCAGACACAGAACCCTAGCCTGGCCCATGTCACTTGGATTTGCCACCTGACTAGTCTGCCCCTGTGGATGGTGAGTTTCTAGTGAGGAAATTCCAAAGAGCTAGAGTGGCTCCCAGCAAGATCTGGTGGTAAGTGACTGCAGAAGGTATATCTAAGGAACAGTGTGCCAATAAGAAGCAAAGCCTAGAGAAAGAGAGGTAAATATTCATGCAATCTATCCAAGCACAGGCCACAAATAATTCATTTAATTCTTCCTACTGCTGAGGAAACTGAGGCTCAGAAAGGTTAAGCCACTTTGCCCAAAGCCTCCCACCAAGAAAGCATGTAGGTAGAGTTCTGGCTCCAGAGTTCCCTCTCGTAAGCCAACTACTTCTCCTAGTATGCAGGGACTTTGTGTGACTGTGTCCCTCTATGCGGATGACACTAGGCAGCCAATGAAATCAGGGTTCCAGGCCTGAGAGGCGGACGTGACTCCACAAATCAGTTCAACAATCCATACCCTCACAGGTCATTAAGGTATTAAGTATGTTTTGAATGGAAAAAAGTTTAAAAATTCCAAATTCACCTAAAATGTCGTTAAATTTATCATAAGGTATAAAGTCAGAAGAGCTCACGTTATCCCTTCAGCAACTTTTCCTCTCTGCAAATGTTGAAATCAAAAGTACTGATGGGCACAAAATACTTTTCAATTCTTGCTTGCTTATTTAATTCTATTCTCTAAAATGTATTATTATCCCAACTATATTTGTGACATGCTAGCAACAAAGGAAAAAGGCAGGAAGCTGTTGATTACTGAGATCTTTACACTTTGATACATTTTATTAAATTAGGTACGATGGTAGTAGCTAAGATACAAGATTCATTTCCAAATGAACATCCTCCCAAAGAGGATGAGAAGAGAAAAAAACCATCACAATATAAGGCCTTGGAAGTAAATCCTCCAAAGGAATTCTGGTATCATCTGGCCAGGTCCAACTGGACTATCTGACCTTTTGTTAAATAACCACTGAATTATTCTCTTGTTCTTCCAGCAATGTGTTCATCCTACATCAAAAAGCCCTAATTGCAGAGTTGTCAATCAAATGTGCCAATCTACTGCAAACTGCAACCCAAATACCACCAATTCCAACCAAGCTGAAGCTACCCCATGACCCAGTAGCTCTGCCCTAGTATCCTCATGATATGACCCCCAATGTTGCATCTTTTTCAGATGGCTCTATTTTCCGTAGCTGCTGTTAATCCACCTGTCTTGTGTGACGCATCTGCTCTGGCTATTCATTCTCTTTCTGTCAACCACAAGCTGACTAAGAAGTGGAATAATGACTATTTCCCATTTGCTTGGTGATACTAATATTTCAATATGCTTAAAAAAAAATTGAGCCTCTGGCTACCTGACCTTACCTGTCCAAGGCAATGGCAGGGAAGCTGAGGATAGTCACAGAGCAGAAGACTTTGTGCAAAAATTTGACGACCTTGCAGAAGAGCATGGTGTAGATCCACCAGCAGCAGTGAGGACTGGTGCTGAGGACGATGTCGAAGGGCACGCAGACCAGGCTGGCACAAATCCCCGAGCAGGCCAGGTTTTTAATGAACCTGTTGGTGACAGATTTGAACACGGTTGTGCGGCAAGTTGACCATAACACCATGAAGTTTCCTGGCCAGATATGCAAAATAAATAAATAAATAAAAATAAAAATAAATTTTAAATAAAAAGAAAGAAGACAAAAAAGGAAAGAAAATACAGGTTAAAAAAGACTGAAAATCACATTTTAGAGTTGATTTTAAAGGATTCAATGTAAATACTTACATATTATATTGTCAATTTATGGGGAATTATTAAATCACTTATGTGTATCTCAAAAAGTCTAGAATGATTTTTAGTAGGGCGTTCTGTTATTTAATTTAGGCATATTCTGTCATGTGGCCCTTCACAGCTCTTATAATTATTCATTTGTTTGATAGCATACGATGCTGATTCAGTCTCCTCTGAGTATAAACAATTTGCTAGGTATTACTTAATCTCAGTCTACTCTCACCAAGTTGGGAATGACTTCCACACCACCAAACTCTGCAACAGAAATAGGACGCAAGCCACACATAAAATTTTAAATTTTCTAGAAGCCACATTTTTAAAAAAATGAAAAGCAGGTGAAATTTTAATAGTGTATTTTATTTAACCTAATATATCCCAAATATAATCATTTCAACATGTAATCACTACTTTAAAAAGTAGTAATGAATTATTTTTCATTCTTGTTTTTGTACTCAGTCTTTGAAATTTTGTGCCCATTTCTTCAATTGAAATAGAACCGACAGCTGCCATTGTATTAGTTTTAGGTGTACACGGTGTGTATTTTGTTTCACATGTATAGCACATTTCAATTTGCATGAGTCACATTTCAAGTGCTCAATAGCCACACGCAGCTGGTGGCTACTATTCAGGACTGCACTGTTCTAGGCCTTTAACACAAATGACAATTTGACTAGCTCTCTTTGAGCATTCTTCTCGCATGGCTTCCACCGATCTATAGTCTCCTGGTTTTCCTCCTACCTTCCCACCTCTCTGGTGTCCTGGCTAATCCTAGCTTTCTTTACCAGGCCCTTATCTATCCTCTCTCTGCAGCCTCTCCCTAGATTAACTACCCATTGGGGTGGCTCTCTATTGGAATGTTAATGACTCCCACATTCACATCCCAAACTAGGCCTCTCCTCTCAACTCCAAACTATTTCCAACTAAAGGTCAGATTCCCCACCCCTCTCGATCTGTTCCGCCTCCCCTCGGTCCTCAAAAGCCTAGGTGATCTAGGTCTCACTTCTCCCTTCCCCTGGCTCACCGGGCACCAGCCACTCTGGTCTTTTTTCTTCTTTAAACAGAATCAAGGTTGATCCTATCTCAATGCCTTTGCACAAGTTTTTCATACTGAGTAGCATCCTCCTCATATGTCTGGTTCCTTTTCATCTAAGTCTTAATGTAATTCAGTCTTTTTATTTTAAATACTTACTGTTCCTCCCTCCATTATAGTCTATTATAATATCCTGTTGTGGCCGTCATAGCTGTAATCACAATTATTAATTTGTTTACTTGTTTCCCCTCCATTTCATGAGGATAAAAACCATGCCAATTTTGTTCACCGTTATAACTCCACTGTCTTGCTCAGTATCTGACACACAACAGGCATTCAACAAATATTTGTTGAGTAAATGAATGTGTAAGATAAAGGACAAGCAATAACCGAAAGTCCCTGTGGTAAGATGACCGTTTGTAGTAGGTACAACATGTGAGGATATTCTAAGTCAGTAGTTCCCAAACCTTACTGTGCACCAGAATCGCTTTACCAGACATTCTGAATCACAGCTAATATGTATGAAACTGGGAACCTGCATTTGTAACAAGCGCCCCAGATCCAGTTGGCCCCCAGACTAAAGTTTTAGAAACACCTCCTCTACACAGAGTTTATATTACCACCACCCACCGCTCCCACAGCCCACAGGGACCAAGTCTTCAGGTCTGCAGAGCAGCCTACTCTACAGGTGGAGCTTTTACCTGGCAAGAGAGCCAGGTCCTCTCAGCCAATCAGTCCTGGCCCAAGGACACTGCCACCTCCTGTGCACATACTCCAGTGAACTGAGCCAAGAGCTTGGCCTCACTCGGAAGGAGAGTGATGGTACCGGGGGGACAGCAAAGTTCAAGGCTACAGCCAGTCACTGCAAGGAGCTTCCTTTGCACCTTAGATGCTGACATAACTTACTGTCAAGGGTCTCTCTTAAAACAAAATATTCCGTAGCTACCTCTTATCTTCCTGGCAAAGTAGAAAAAATAACCACTGTGTTTAGGTAAGCAGGCCAGCTGCTTCCAAGAAATTCTCTACCAAACTTTCCTCACATCACTAGCTGCCTCACTGAGATAAACCCAGCTGTATGAATATACACATTCACACATTTACTCAGCGGAAGAGCTGTTTTACTAATATTACCACCTCAGGCCCCTCAAGCTTTCCTGTCACCAAGGTGACAGAGCAGTAATAATGTGTTTGAAGCCCCACTGACTTGGGGAATTCTTTTTTCTAGCCTTTTTCCACTGAAGCACAGATTAGAATCTGGCTGAAGCATCTTTCCTCGCTTCATTTTTACATACAAGACTTAAATTCTGGTAACCATCTAAAAATGAAATAGCTTACTCAAAGAAATTTGCCATGGAGAGAGTGCACGTGTCACAGTATCTTTAGCTGTCAGAATTGGGGGGCCTCCAGTCCACTGGGGGACTTCCCATAAAGGCAATCTTTCTTTGCTATGAATCAATGCAATCTTTCATTACTGTCAATCTTTAAGGTTTGGTAGGTTATGCTTAACAAAACATTTTGAGTATCCAAACAAACAGGAAAATTCATTACAAATGAGGGGACAGCAGTGGACCAGGGTCTCTCAGGCACATAGTAGAAGCCGTGAAGCTTAAACTGATTTCCATCATTACCTTCGTACTCTGCTCTCCTAGCTTTCTCTCCCCCCTCTAGACATCAGGCATACTTTTTCACTGCTTAAAAAAAAACGTACATTTTATTAGTACATCCACACTTTGTGAATAAGGAAACTTGTTTTCAATGGTAATTATTGAAACACCTGAGAATCTTATAATCACATTTTACCTCCACTTATTTATAAAACTCTAGGTGGCATCTGGAGCCTAATCCCTCTTGCTATTAAGAACCTGAAGCTAAAGAAGGCTATGTTCTTTCCATTCTCTAAACCACTACTCTCTCTCCTCACTTAAAAACTGACTCATTTGACTCTAAGAACCTGAATTAGACCCAAATATCAGGAGAGGAGCACCCACACTCAATATCCGATTGGCCACACATAAAAAAAGGTATATGTCTGTACACACACATGTATAAATAAGCAGATGAGCATACACACACATGCATACACACAAATATATTCATAACAACAAAACAAGATGGTTATATATTTGATCATTTAATCTCATTAGTACTTTCTAGTCTCCTCAGTTTTACAAGGCACTGAGGATAACTCAGTATATATTTTAAGTAACACAGTAATCAACCTCAAGATACTTCTTTTAAGGTTATTTTATAAATTTATTTTTATTGTTGACAGTATTACAGATGTCCCCCCTTTTGCCACCCTCCACCCAGCCCCTGCCCCACCCCAGGCCTTCACCACACTATTGTCTGTGTCCATGCGCTATCATATATGCACATATGTTCTTTGGTTAATCTCTACCCATCTACTCCCCCCCGAGATCTGTCAGTATGTTCTATGCATCCATGTTTCTGGACCTATTTCGTTCATCAATTTATTTTGTTCATTAGATTCCACATATGCGTGAGATCATGTGATACTTGTCTTTCTCTGACTGGCTTATTTTGCTTAGTATAACAATTTCCAGGTCCATTCATGGTGTTGCAAAGATAGGAGCTCCTCCTTTTTTACAGCCACATAGTATTCCATTGTGTAAATGGAACGGGCACTTGGACTGTTTCCCAATCTTAGCTATAATAATAATGCTGCTACGAACATAGGGGTGCATATATTCTTTCAGATTGGTGTTTCAGGATTCTTAGGATATATTTCCAGAATTGAGATCGCTGGGTCAAAGAGCAGTTCCATTTTAAATTTTTTGACGAAACTTCATACTCTTTTCCACGGTGGCTGCACCAGTCAGCATTCCCACCAGCAGTGTACTAGGGCTCCCCTTTCTCCACACCCTCACCAGTACTTGTTGTTTGTTGATTTGTTGATGGAGCCATTCTGGCAGATGTGAGGTGATACCTCATTATAGTTTTAATTTGCATCTCTCTGATGATTAATTGAACATTTTTTCATGTCTATTGGCCATCTGTATGTTCTCTTTAGAGAAGTGTCCATTCAGGTCCTTTGCCCATTTTTTAATTACATTGTTTGTGTTCCTGGTATTGAGTTGTATAAGTTCCTTATACATTTTGGAAATTAAACCATTATCAGATGTATCATTGGAGAATATGTTCTCCCATACAGAGGGTTCCATTTGCATTTTGTTGATGGTTTCTTTTGCTGTGCAGAAGCTTTTTAATTTGATGTAGTCCCATTTATTTTTTCCTTGCCCTAGGAGATGTAAGATACTTTTTATTTTTTAGATCATGTTCTAAATCACCTAATCCCCCTTAGAAACGATTCAAAGCCCTCGCTGGGTAGCTCAGTTGGTTAGAGGGTCATCCTGATACACTAAGGTTTGGGGTTAAATCCAGGGTCAGGGCACATAGAAGAATCAACCAATGAATGAGTAAGTGAATGGAACGACAAACTGATGTTTCTCTCCACTACCACTATACCCTGCCACACTTCCTTTCTTTCTCTAAGATCAATAAATATAAATTTAAAGGAAAAGAAAAGAAAACCTCTTCATTTCCTCAAAGATAATTTACCTCTTGAGGTGACACAAAAGACTCTCTAACCCTTTAAAAAAAAGTTTCAAGTTCTTCCCATTCTTCCTCCCTTTATATTTCCATTATACTTTCTAATGCTGGGCTCTGTGCCAATATTCTGTGCCAGAGGTGTGGGCACAGCAACCCAGTTAGTACACACAGCACACAAAACCACAAGGGAAGTAAGAGGGAGAGGGTGAGGGCATCGGTACAGATCTGCTCTCCCTGGGAC